CTTGCTGGTTTCCTTCTCAAGCTTGCGAACACAGAGGAGTACATAGATGGCGCGTTGTCCGGACACCTGGGCGAAGTTTTGATAAGGTAACTGGGGCGCTTACGGCCGAGGCGGGGCCTTGCCACGTCTTCTTACCACTTGCATTAAAACTGGCATCGGTGGGTGCTGTGTTTCTTGTCTAGCGAAGATGCTAAGTTGTTAACGTAGCTCTTACGTGAAGGCCGTGAATTTTTATATTGAGATCCCTTGTGAGGGGAGGAAAAATGAATTTTTGAATCTGTCCAAAGAAGCCTTTAAGATCTCTTTTTTTTGGGTAACTAAATACTTTTCCACATTATTGTCTATCTGTTAATCCCTTCGTATTATATACTTGTGCGTTGCTACTGAAAACATTTTGCATGCTTGGAAGTTGAACTTGGCTGTAACTGTTAACCCAAAAGTAAAAAAAATTCTTGTACAGCATTTTCGACTCATTCTTTTTATAAAATGCGTGTGTGCAATTGTAATGAACTTTGTGGAAAATCTGTACAAGGTCAACAGCAGCAATTTGTTATCCAGAATTTGGCTGTTGCCAGGCTACGCTCAAGCAGCAAAATGCTTGAAGTAGTGAATATAAGGGGAAAGTTAAACCATTTACCAGTAAGGGAACTCTTGGTTCTATTTACAGGTGCAATAATGTTTTGTACATCAGAGGTGTGGAAGAAGAGGAAGAAGATGGAGAAATGAGAGAATAGGTGTTTTGTATGTCTGGAAATAAACTTTTTTTTTTCATTTTTTGTTTTCCATAACTTTGTAATAAGGTGTTTGTTTACTTTTTTTCCCATTGTGTTTTAATATGGGGGAAGCTTTGAACTGGTTAGTTACGAGGATGCAGCTGTAACACTTTGTAGCTATTTCAGTAGAAAGTAGGTGCCACCTCTGAGTGAGAACTGTAAGTCATCTTCAGTGTTTGCAGGACCCTCATTCTTAGCTGCCTTCTCTGCTTTAACAGCTGAAGGCAGAAAAATACCATTTTCCCATCTGAAACACAGGAAAATAAGGCAGTCTGTGTATTTTACAGTATGTATATCGTCTTTAAACCTGTTTATAAACCATTTGGAAATAGTTGTGAAGCCTTCACTGCAGGTGAGATGTGGAGATGCGTTATACCCCAGTGTCTCTAAGAAGTACTCTGCTGCTTTGAGTCACGGAACCTGAAGTGCAGCTGTACAGTTATTAAGGACAAACTTGTGTTGACTTCGTAGCCAATATCCACACAAACAAAAGCCTCTTGGCAGCTGTAAAGGTCCATAGACTTTAGTGGCTTTCATAGCGCTAAGGCAACACACTCCCAAATGGGAGTGCACTTGGTGAGTCTCTGCCGTAAAAAGAAAGTCTCTCTGTTACCAGGCATCCAGAATACTAAAGTTTTTGCAGGATCACAATAACCATGTTTTCAAATGTTGAGAGTAAACTTTGAGGCTAACTGAACGCGTCTCTTGCCACTCAGTGTTTGATAGTGAAAGCAGGCTGGTGCTTTGCCAGTCTGAGTGTCCCTGTTAGAGGCTCTGACGGAGCTAGGAACGGCTGCCTGTGAGGTGGTTTGGAGGGGCATTCTGCAGACCAGAACCCAAACAGCTAGAGGTGTAGTTCATGAACGTGGATTACAACTGTCATGTTACTTTGACCCTTCTTTACCTTGGTGATTGCTTACTGTAATGCTACTGTCGAGTACAGAAGTATTATCCCTCTTTTACACATGGGAAAAATTAAGAGCTGGGCAAAGATGAGGCAGTGACCCAGCTGTGGAAGTAGATCTCACTGCCATCAAACTTGGAACCAGACCCTGGTCGCTTATCAGCATGGCTTGATGAATTGCTGGGCGAGCTGCTGCAATGGCTGTGCTGTAGTTTTTGCTGAAAAATGGAAGTGATACTGTCTTCTTCCTCGGAGTCTTCTGGAGTAAGTGAAGAAGTTCTGCCTGAAAGCTGCACGGGCGGTAACTGGTGGGCACAGGTGGAGTGCAGATCTCCAGGTCCTTAGGCTGGGGTCATTCATCCCTTGAGAGACGACTGGAGTGAACAGAGTGCTGGATGCTTTGGGCTAAACTAGGACGTAATACTGGTTATGTGAATGGGGGAAACCCCCCAGCCGGTCGGGATAGCTCCTGCAGAGAAATACTGCCCTGTTCTCTCCACTGTTGGAAGTCACTGTAGCTATGCACGTGTTCCTTGAATATTTACATCTGTAAGTTGCCATAAAGAGTGAAAAATCACATTCGATGCACTTGTGAAGGCCTTTTATTACTTAAACCAGTCCCCCCTTCTCGGCAGCTTGAAGGCTTATTTCCCAGCTCTGCTGAAGAAGTACCTTACAAGCCCAGTGGGCAAGGGAAGAGAGCTATTTAAGCTAAAATCAGCATAAGAACAAACGAGTTCTTTTAAATAGGCAATGAGCTCAAAACAGTGACAGCAAATGTGTTCTTAGAAAGCTTTCAGTGGCAGGAACGGGAGGCAGAAGAAGTGTCTGGTTTGTGATCCAGCATGCCCACTTCAACAGCTGCATGATGCAGAATGGTGCCCTTTCCACGTCGTCACTTGACAATTACAGTGGTGTCGGTACCGGACGAGAAGAAGACTGTCACTGTCATCTTAGTATCTTAACGGGTGCCATGTCTGGAGTGGCCTGGCCCTGGCCTGAAAGCTGCTCCTCCACGTGAGGCGGAAGCAATGTGTGATCTTAGCGTTGGGTCGGCAGATGCCGCCATCACGGAGAGAATGTGCCGAGTGTTTCAGCCCTTCAGCTTTCCAGCACAGCTGCTTGGGAAGCCCCAGCATATGCTGGACCACTTCTGTGTACATAGGTGAATGTGACTGGTTCCTCAACTGAAGAGAGGCACGCATCTGTGGAAAGATGTGTTTTGGGTTGTGACGTACAGCCGGCGTGCTTAATTCCTCCCATGAGGGTAAAGAAAATGGTTTTGCCTTGCAGAGAGAGCCAGAGCCCTCCTGTGATTCACAGCACTTCCTCTGATTCCCTTCCTACAGGGTGAGAATTATTCAGTGTAGAACAGTGGTGCTTGTTAGAGAAGGAGTAATTTTTGTGCTAGAAAACTTCACGTAAGGAAGGTCCCGTAGCAGTTTAAAGTAAGTAGAAACCTTTTTGAAAGAAACCTGGCAGTGAAAAAGCAGTGGGAGAGCATTTTGTGCACGTTGTTCTCCATGTGGCAGACACTGCCCAACTTAAAAACGGGTGGTTGGTATCCCAGGACAGACATCCTGCACCCATCAGCTGGAAAGCAGCCACATCTTTTCTGTTTGTTTTTTGCAAGGGGCTGTTGAGAAATGAATCAAAACACTGAGACGTTTATTATGACCTTTCAAAACACGTACCTGATGTACCCCGTAATGAAACCAGTATCTGGAAAAAAGCTTTTTTTTTAAAAAAAGGTAAAAATTCTATGAAAATCTACACTAAGATGAATAATAGGAAAGGAAAGACAAGTGGACTTACCTTGCAAAAAGAAGAGCCCAGTCAGAACTAAGAAAACAAATATTTTTCTCCTGTCTCCCTCTTTGAAAGACTGAGATCACCTGCTTGACAGTCTTGAGTTTTCATTCTCAATCAAAGCGTGCTCCTCTCGTGTAGCTTCAGATACTTTGGAGATTTTTTTGTAATGTCTCTACAGGGTTTTGATAGGTACATTCCTTAGACTTCAAACTCAGAAGGACGCTTTTATTTTTGCACAGCACCAGGCATCAAACACTGTGACTAAATAATACCTTGGTGTGTAACTTCATAACGGATCCCAGTTCTCACGCCCGCACCCTGCAAAGATGGATGCGCGTGTTTACCTTTGCTTCCATGAAGTGTTCCCTCCGTTTCAATGGGAGGAGCCCTGCAGGTAAAGTCAGGCAAAGACTTACATGTGTGCTTAATTCAGATTTTGGTCCTAAATGGTGTGAAAAGAGTTGCAGTGCAGCGGAAGGCAAGGGACTCTCAGTACGTCAGTGTAATTTGGGCTGGTGCTTAGTAGGGACGGGGTAAGCCCCATGAGTACCAAGAGATTTTTCCTTTCTTCTGGAGCAAGTCCAAAAGGCAAAAGAATTGCAAACATTCGCTTACGTGTGTATTAAAGATACAAATAAAAGGGCTCATGATTTTACTTTTGAAATAGAAGGTATATAAAGTAACTAAACAATAAAATGCTTTCATGTGTTCAAATTGTTTATAGGATAAAAGAAATCAAAGTAGCAGGACACTGCATCAGCAACAGATTGTACCCTGCAAAACTACTCACTGAGCACGGTAAGAAGTTACGTAGTCAAAAAGAGCCTGGAAAGACCTACAGCAAGACATGAGACATCCAACACATGTCATTTTAAGCTTATTTTTTGTGTACTCATTTAAGTACAGGTTGTTTGCTCTTTATTTTTGACTTGGAAACCTTTCCATTCCTAGGAGCAGTCCAAAAAAAAAAAAAAAGAGTACACAACCTAGCTGAGAAGACCCTAAATTTTTATCATTACTAAGAAACAAAATGCTGCAAACTAATTCTGTCTGGCACAGATCACGGACTGCAAAGAATGATGCGCTCTGGCCATGAGGCCAGATTCCAGAACGACACCAGTTCCTGTGCCCGGGTGTGTCCGCATCCTCGCTCCGGCAGGACACGGGTGCGCACACGGGTGCACACACGCTCTCCTTTTTCCCTTAGCTGCAGTTTTTGTGACAAGGAACCTGGGGAGCACAGGCGGGAAGGGTTCCGCTGTGCTCAGAGAGGACCCTTCCTGCCCAGTTAGGTCCCCTGGGGCAGGCTGCGGTGTTCCCCCAAAAGGTGGCCCCATCACCAGGGGGTGATGGGCTTTGCCAAAGAAGTTATTAAGGCAGAACCTGGGCGCAGAGGGAGGGTTCAGAAAGCTCCCCTGAGCAAATGCAATGTTCCCATGGTTTGAGAGATGCACAGTTTTTCTGAACAGGAAAAAGAAAATGCAGAATACCTCGGTTTTACTTTTGCAAAGCTACGCAAAAAGTATTTGTAAATCTGATGAAAATCTCGCTCTGATATGAGGGAAGCCAAGTCTGGGTCAGTTCCACATTCCAAAGCCCGTATCACCCATGTGATGCAATTTCTATGTTTGATCCTGAGGGTCTAGTAACCTGCTGCTTTTGTGAACAGGGAAATAGCATTCCATGAATTCCACTAGCAACAGTTCTTAAGACCTGCACAATGTCTCCTTTCAGGACATTGCATCACGCTATGCGTATTATTGTAAAGGACTGTTTAGCAGATGAAGAAAAAATCTAACATGCAAATCTAAGGAAAATTTAGCCAAAATTTGGACTAAGACTCATATCCAACCTTGGGCCTTCTCTGTGTTGTTTACAAGAATAAACACTCTAAAGTAAATCTGACAGTGGATTTGAAAAGGTGTTCCTTGAGGAACAAGCATATCACACACTCACATAAAGCACCAGCAAGAAGGGATGAAATCTCTTCAATCAATAACCCGATATTCAATTGACTTTTTACTTATCTCTATTTTTACTATTTTTTTTCCCTCTCTATTCTTTCTGCTACCTTAGATAACCCAATATTCAATTGACTTTTTTTACTTATCTCTATTTTTACTGGTTTTTTCCCTCTCTATTCTTTCTGCTACCTTACTTTGTTTAATTTTTTTGGTGAAATGAGCTACTTTCCAACCCAACCTGGCAAAACTCAAGGAACTTAAAATACCCAATGATAAGTAAA